CAAATATTCTATCAACATACTTTGCTAGTATAAATGACGCCGTTTTTAAGAACATCAATATCCCAAAGTTACACACATTTTAATCTTACATCATACAAAAATGCGTATTAAGATACAGACGAAATTGTGAAAATTATAATAGGCTTATTCATCCCTTTCTTTTAATTAAGATTTTTTTAATAATATTTTATCATTTTTTTAATAATATTTTATCACTCTTTTAATACAGTTTAAAACGCAATATTTTCACATGACAATAATTTAAGCATAAGGGCAAAGTGGTTGGACAATACCGGTAAGTTCTTTAGCATTAGCAACTGTCCTTCCCTTAAGCATTATAAGATATAGACACGTAAACATTTTTAAACACTATACGCATGAGTAATAACAAATATTAAGACGGGTACAAATATACAGCAGCAAACAGAAATCGGCATTAACTTTTGAGATAGAAGAAATTATAAAACGTATCAATTTTATTATTACTAGTATTTAACAAATCATTTCCCTACATTTGCAGTGCGTGATGGTTTGTATGGCTGTTCAAAATATTCAATTATAAAAAGAAGATTTAAGTTATAAGGTCCAATCGACGACAATTTGATAGTACAGGCTTTTCCTTATTTTACCCATTGATCCGCGAAAAAATATATATTAAAAATTGTTGTATTTTTATTTTTTTTGTTATAAAAATCAAATAAGTTTTAAAACTAGTCTTTCCATAAAAGTCTCCGAGACAATATTGATTTTAACAGAAATACCCTCTCAGACTGTGCTAATAAACATTGACTCGCTTGAAAACAAAATGAACATTGAAAATGCTAAGAAACAATTACTTTACAGCGTGCTCATAGAATCGGAAAGTACAATTCAAATAAAATAAGACCCGTTGTCGCACAATTTGCGTTCGGTCACGAAAAGTAGTGGGTGCGTACACACACGAGTAAGCTGACAAAGCCCTAATACCCGAAAGAAGTTGTAGAGACCAGGAGACAATTCTTTAAAAAAAATCAACATTTTATATCTGCATAAATTTTATGAAATTTAAGGAACATGTTGTAAGAAGAAATTGCACATTTGTATTCTTAAACGATAAATTATAATTTAGTAAAAGAAATTACCAGTAAAAAACTTATCAACTAAAAGTGCATGAACTAGTATAACTACTGACGTTTCCTTAGACAATATTATGTAGTATTCATTGTGCAAAACAGTCTAGAAAATGAGAATAATATACATATCGATAATAATGTGAACAAGATATGGGAATTCTCTCGAATCATAATTTTGTTAAGCATAACGGAACGATGCTGTTTTTATTCTTCTTCATTTCATTGGTTATATCTTTATGCTCAAAAAACAAAGTGATACTTGTAGTATGTCGTTTGTATAAGAAGTTTAACATGAATGATGATAAAATTTATAAGACAATAAGTAGCAAGTACCTAAAATAAAAGAATGTACACAATACTACTATCCGCTTTTCTTATTTGAAAACGTGAAAGAAAATAGGTAATATCACTAAACATTCCTAAAACAACACACAAAAAAAACAGATAAAAGAAAAACACGGATAGATATTTAACTACCCGATTAATCACTACTAGATTTACCTCTTTAAAACTTCCTCTTGCAATGATGTAATTTGAATAGTTACGGTATGCATCAGTGACTACCTTTATAGCGATTTTAAATGCTATTTTTAGACACGAAATATACGGATTGATACGGTTACAAGAAAAAACAAATTCTCTTTCAAATCAAAAACTGTACTTATTTTTTTCTTGCAATTATAAGAAACAAAAACTTAAATTTAACCTATGAAGTTAATTATAATCTACTTAAGAAAGATTTTAAATATATTCAAGCATTAAACATATTATTTAAATGTACAATCTGACTGAAGTTCGGATCTATGTAGATCTCATTACGACCTTATATGTTTCGCCTTCATTAAAATTCGGATTTGCCGAGAAGGCTATTTTTAGCCATGCAATCAAACCTGTTTTTACACAGGCATTAGAAAAAGTATCAAAATACCGTTTTCCTTGGAAGTCAAACAAATTGTTGGTTTTTGTTGGAAAAAAGTACTTTTTATTAAGTTTACTTGTAATAATAGAATCAATTTTAATTGGTAAGAGTGTTTCGGCAGTTTACCTGTCGGAATAAACTTGCCGTTGTCCATATAGCTCAAAAGGGTTGAAATAAGAAACCGCATCTCCTCAAAATTATAAATGCTCGTCGATGATTGGCTATGTGAAAGATCACCAGAAATAACTTCGTAATTGGTCACTGTTAGATATAAAAGCGGAGTGTTATTTAAAACTAATTTAAATTAGATTGTTAAAATGTATTATTTACTTACGAAAGTCAGATGGTTACATTGAAACTTCCCATATTCACGATTTAAACTTCATGAACTCAGGATTGAAGCTAAAAGAATTCGAACTATAAATTTCACGAAGCATCAATTCACTTTTATCACGAATTCGAGTTTCTAAACTTCCAACTTCATGAATAATTGATGATGTCGACCGCACGGTTTTATATGGTCGAATTTACGTTATCACAATTTTTAACTACATTAATGCTCAAAAATACACACATTCACATCTTCAATTTAACATATTTTTTTTTAAAAATGTAAAAGTAAATTCATGAAATTTAATTCACTAATTTGATATTATAGATTCAAGAATTTGAATTCTGAAGTTGATTTTTTAGATTCATGGATGTGAAAACGAGAAATCGTGTTATTCGAAACCGTAAGGTTCAAATTACTAATGTTAAATGAATTCAATTACAATCATGTTTTAGTAAAAATCATGAGGTGGTGACGTAAATGCATATTATTAAAATCATTATTTTTTCTGTATGCAATATATTAAAATGGATAAATATAAATTGCTAAAACTTGTTTCCCAATCGAGCTAAGATAAATATGTTTAAACCACGATAATGTTAATCTTAATTAAAATTTTACTTTTGAAATCATTAATTCATTAGCCTCACATTAATATACCGCTATTGCTGCAATTTTAGAGCGGTTTCAATGGCTGACTCCGAGAAGTGTTCAAATATGAATGCAAGTGGGTCAATCTTTAGAAGTGCTTAACAAACAGTGCCAAAATAATTATGTGATATACAAAGTTTGAGTCTTTTAATCTTAGATTATAAAAACGTATTTACAAATTTGATTAAAAGACTTCTCGTATTAATATAGGATTTATCCAATATGTACTCTGTGGAATTGTCTTTTTATTGACAAACAAATGCTCGCTTTCAAGTATTTATTCTTAATGCTTATCAGGTCCTATAATTATCTAAATCTAAAACATTTTGTATCAATATTTTACGTAAAATCTTTCTTTGTACAAGTATTACTATATCCATAAAATGTACGTGTTTAGAAACCGCTATATACATACTCGAACCTATGTTGGCTGAATTGTGCCATACGTGTTTCCGCCACGCTACCCCACCAAACGAAAGGGGTGCGGAGCGAAAACACGCTAATTAGCACCTCCGCTAATTAGCGTGTTTTCGCTTCGCGCACCCGCCATCTTAATTTGTTAATTCCCGACCTTTCGCTTGGCAGGGTCGCAGGACGAAAACACGCTAATTAGCGGGGGCGCGGCGAAGTTTTATTTATTAAACTTCGCCTCGCGCCCCTTGCTAATAAGCGTGTTTTCGTCCCGCGACCCCACCGTTTTCTTTCTTAAATTTCGCTCCGCGCCCCCGCAGGACAAACTTTTATTTGTTAAACTTCGCCCCGTGCCATCGCTAATTAGCGTGTTTTCGCTCCGCACCACCGACATTTTAACTTGGTAATTTTCGAATTTTCGCTTGGCGGCGTTTCGGGGCGAAAACACGAATACCACACATCAGCCACCATACGAACCCCTGTACTATCTCGAAAATTAAAGCTACAGATATCCATCTTTGCATCCTTCAAAACATGTTTACAACTTTCCTGTCACATATCTGACATATTTCAGGTTTCGCCACAAAAGCTTTGTATACACTCATTTTAAGACTATCCATCTACATGTCCACATGTTCTTTAATTGTCCCTAACTGAACATAATGGATGGCAAACATGAAATGACATTAACGTGTCACATTGAAGGTTCCATGATAACCGCCGTGTGAACACAACTGCGGATGTTTTTAAATTCAAAATTTCACCATTTTCATGTTGAAATGTTGAATTCTGGATTGGTAACAATATACCGGATGTTCTTGATATTTACTATTTAGACAATTATCATCCCAGGTAAAAGTTTAACTTGCATGAATATCATATTATTTTTGTTCACATGAAGTAGAGTTATTGAAGTGCGATAGCTCTGTTGGTTAGACCAATGACTGTCACTCCTGAGGTCCCTGGTTCGATAACTTAAACTGTTTTCAAGAACATTGTTATACATGTTATAATCAAACATTATAAAACAATGTAAAATATGTATACAATTATAAGTTGTTAGTAGATATAAGTATACATTTTATATTTGAATTAAACGAAAGAATTAAATATAAATTGGTATTGTTTTATATACTCAAAGTATATGTCACGCTTACTATGCTTCAATAATAAATTAAACTTTTCTTAGATTAGTAAAGTGGCATTGCCCGTAAAATTAATATGAATACACAGCTGTCAAACAATTCTAGAAAGACTGTAACCATAACATCTGTCTAAAAAATACTGAAATAATAAGATACTGTGTTGTTCAGCGAACTTAACTTGTAACGTTTACAAACTTACACATTTTATACATTGTATATTCAAAGGATTTATGAAGTGGGATTTAATTATGATTTGCTGGCTTCTTATTTTTACCATACTGTAGTAAAATTTACATTTTTATTATATGTGTGTTGTGAACTAAACATATCGATCAGAGTTATCACATGGGAAGGTAAATATGTTAAAAATTTCATCTCAAGCCGATTGAAATTTTCAAGAAAATCCGTTTATAAAGAACAACATGGTCAAATAATTTTGAAAACACATTAGTCATATTTTACATGTTAAAATAGCTAGAATAAAATAAAGTTTTATCCCTTACTACAACTAGCTTATCATGAATACAAGCCGTTTTCAAAGTGATTATATAAGGATAGTAATAATATACATCAATGACCACAGAAACAACAAATTAAGTTTTACTGTAACAATTCATTTTGTTGTTTTCACTAGGAAATCACTAAAACTCATTTCTCCTATGTTGATGACAATGTTGTTCCTAGATCTAAAAATAAACAAAAAGATGTACAGACAAATAAATAAGTAAATAAATAAAAACATAAATAAATAAGTACATGAATAATATAACATTAATTAAGTAATTAATCATAATAAATAAATAATTATTTTAAACAACAATAATGACATCAAGTTCTTAAAATGATCACAATTCTAGGTAAATCAAGTAAACACATAACAATTACCATTGTATACATTATCCGTGGTCCTATTATTACTCAATCTCTCGTAATTATTAATCCCTTCAGCTGACTCGGTATTTACAGTGTATATATCAGTTCTAGTGTTATAGTATGTTGGATTTTCCATGTTTGGTTTTTTGTCTTGAGGCGTTTTACTTGCTAGATACCTGTGTTAAAGCGTAGACTTTGTAATAGTACAGGTATTATACAAGTCAATGTTTAGTAATAGGTAAAAAAGCAAATCACAACCAACAAAATTAACTTGAAAGTACAGATAATAGATAAAAGGCGACAATAACACCATGATTGATTGATTATCATTATTGTCATCATCATCATCATCATCATCATCATCATCATCATCATCATCATCATCATCATCATCATCATTATTATTATTATTATTTTTTTTTATTATTATTATTATTATTATTATTATTATTATTATTATTATTATATTATTATTATTATTATTATTATTATTTATTATTATTATTATTATAATTTATCCTATCTGTTTTGCAATAAGAACAAACATCTTGTATAGTATCATATAAGTGAAGAACAAACATTTTTTACACTGCTATATTAGCGAATACATTCACCTTCGTCTTATAATGTAAAGGAACACAGCAAGTACTACAATAGCAGCACAAGATCCGAATCCAGAGAAATAACCAATGGTAAAATCTTTATTGTCGCACCGTGCACACGATTGTTGTTGAGTTACAGGTTCGGCTGATTGTGCTGTTGTTTCTGATGTTTCTGTAGATATAACAATGACGTACATTAGATATTACGCTTACTCTGCTTGAATGATTACTGGAACAATGTTCACTGCATTAGCCGTCGTCTAAGATCAAGCTCAGTTGGATGGAGCGAGAGATTCGTAATCTCGATATTGAGTGTTAGATTCCAGAGCTGGCCATCTAAAATAACTAAAACAGTCTTTCGGACCAATATATGTTAAATGCTACTATAATACCAGTTAAAAGGAAAAAAAAACGACTTAGTAATATATTATTTTGAAATAAATTTATGACAGTAATCATGTGCAGATTGTTTACCGATTGTGATAGTTTGAGTACATTTATCTTCAGTCAGTCCATCCTTACATCCAGCTGTACATGTACCGGTGTTTCTATCACATTTAAGATCCTTACATCTACCAGGACAAGGTTTATCACATGTATCGCCCCAAAATGTTTGGTTACATCCGTTTAGACAATATCCGCTTGTATGTTGACATGTATGTTTACCACGTTCTACTTTGCATGCCGGGTTGCAGGCTAAACTGCAATCGGTTGAGTAAAAATTACCAACACACAGTAGACAAATATTTCCGTTTTCCTTTAAACACTTTAAACATTTGCTGTTACATATTTCGGAACATTTCTCACCAGTCCAGCCCTCATTACATTCTCCTTGACATATTCCAGTACTATCACAATATGTAGAACATTCTTTTGAGCACAATGGTGTGTGTGATACGCACGTTGTACCATTAAATATTTTTCCTTTTGGGCAATCAGCGCAGAGTAACGAATCATTGTGTATTTGACACTGGTTACAACCTTGAATGATACAGTCCGGACATTGCGTTTCTGGCAAACATGATATACAGTGAACATTGTCATTTAGTTTTAATAGAGTATAACCATTATTGCAAATATAGCATGTTTTACCATCCGTACAATGTTTACAATTTGAAGGACAATGTTGACATATTGTATCGACACCAGTTTTATATTCATAATATCCAGCTTTACAACCACTCGAGCAAGTTCGTAAATCACAACGTTCATTTTCACATAAACTGCAATTGTGTTGACATTTGTATCCATAGAAACCAGGCTTACATTGTATACAATATCCCGTGTCACTAGCGCATTCACTGTTTAGACAATTACCATCACAATTTACAGTACACCTAAAACCATATTTTGTTGGCTTACATGACGTACAGTCATCGTAGCTGTTACAGCTTTCACAATTTTCGGGGCATGGTGAACAGAAGCCATTTGTTAAAAAGTATGATGATTTACATCTTGTGCAAGTGTTACCAGAGCACGATTGGCAGCCAGTAGAACATTCTGTAAATATGTACAAATACAATAATTTATATTTTGCCTATTTACTTATTTTGAATATTTCAAAATACACAATGTATGGAACAATACATGTGTTAAGTCAAATTTGTTATATATAAAAGATCAACAATTTAATTGCGACCACAAACAAAAAATAATAAATAATAAAATAAACTTTACAAATGATACGAATAAATGTAAACATTTTATAGATGCATTTAAAAATGTTAATGAAATAGTTTGTACTTGTATAGTACAAAAACAAAACAAAATCATGAAGTAAAAGTAAAAAAATTACCAGAATATACAATATCAGTAAATAGTATTAGTAGAAGTACTGACGTTTCCTTAGACAACATTATCTCGTATTTGTATGTGATAGTCGTTCTAAAAATGAGAATAATATACGTCGATAATTATGTAATAAATTTTCAAGTATTTACGTTTTGAAGCATAACTTATTGTTGCTGTCTTCATTACTCTTCATTTTTTTTTTTTTTTTGTAATATATTTAGCTTAAAAATCAAAATGGTACTCAAAGTATGTATTTCATACAAGAAGTTTGATGTATATTACAGTAAAATATTTAAGATATCGAATGTATCATAAGGAGTTTTAAAGACACATTTAAGCTTAAACAAAAAGTACTGAGACATACATGTATAATTACCTTAAAAGAACTATCACAATTATTGTAATTCCTCTTTCAAAAAGTAAAAAAGTGAAGAAATATCACCAAACATTTTTAACGAACCAAATATATAGTATATAAATACTTGCTTAATCACTACCAAATAAACCTGTTGAAAACTTCCTCTTTAAATGTTGTGACTTGTATACATATGATATGCATTAGTGACTGCCTTTAAAGCGAGTCTTATGTTATTTTTAAACGCAAAAATATCCGGGTTTATATGGTCAGAAAGAAATAAAAATTCTTGCAATTATAAGAAAAACCATTAAATCATGTTTAAAAAAGTAAATTATAATTTACTTTAGGAAGGACTAAAATATTCAGGCATTAACTATACAATTAAAATACTATAAATTTATAATATACGTATTAACGAAAGTCCGGTGGTGACATTGAAACTCCACATATTCACGACTTCACCTTCAAATGCAAAAGACAAATTCACTTTCCAACTTAATAAATTGCATTTAAGTACTTGTGAAGATGAAATATTGACTAAATTAATTTTTATTCACTCATTTGAAATGCTAATTTGAAAGTTGAACTGCGAAGCTCAAATTCATGAATTTGTACATGCGACATCGTGAATTTCGAACAGTAATGATCAAATTCATAAAAATGAATAAATGCATTTGAAATTACATTTTTTTGTGAAGTTTAAATCTTGAAATAATGATGCTGAAAACATAAATTCATGAAATTAAACTCGTTAATTTTTGTATTTAATATGTTACAATCAATTAATATAAGAGTTGAGAATTTGTTTCTCAATCGAGCAAAAGTTAGTATGTTTATTTTGTAATGTTAAAATCGCGGCTTTGTATTGAGAATTGAATACCAATCAAGCTGGTGCTAGGGTGCGTGAGGAATGTTGCACTTAATCATTTTATACTACGTGAATGTGTATTCAAGAACTGAAGAGCTTAAATCACAGAATATGTAATGTTTTATCGGATAATTAAATTGAAAGTTATAATATTCTTTTCCTATAAGGTTCTTATATTCAAATCTGTTTGTGTTAATATCAATGTATTACGAAACAAATGTTTCTTTGCACAAATAAGATCCATGAAATATACTAGTTTATTGATATACTTTTCTTCTAACCCACGTAGTAAATGAAAACATTTGTCTCCGGATGTCTTTACAACCTACATAAGATATAACGTGTTTTCTGTCACATTCCTTATCTTGACATCACTCAAGATAGGACTTATTTTAGGTTTCGCACCAAGAGCTTTGTATACATACATCCATTTGAACACTAAATGTCTGGATGTCAATATGTTCTTTTACCGCCATTTACTTACCTTATAGATGGTAAACTAAACTGAATATTGTTAAGATAACAATTGTGATGTAGACGGATATTGCAATTTTCTCTCAGGATTTCTGTTTAAGCCGGTGATATAGGTGTGGGGGTTACACCGTCCATCATAAGTCTTGATCAAACTGAGCATACAGCATTTTCAATTTTGTCGTTTTGGGCGTTTAGAGATTCTTTCTTTTATATTGTGTTGTATTTTTTTCATTCATACTATTTACCGTTGCATCCTGTCCCGCTGCATAACAAGTGCAGACCAAGGAATTACTTGTATAATATATCTGAGTTTCGTCAAAACCGTGAATAATACAACAATAGTCCGAACATAGAGATCCTCAAAACATGATACACAGTGAAGAACATTATTATCAAATTTTAAGAGATGAAAGACATCGTTGCATAATTATTGTCATGTGCCTATCCTAACCTAGTTTATGATTAAATTATTAGCTATTCTGCTATAATTCTTACCACGTTAACAATTTGTCGAAAAAGTTTGACATACTGTTTTTAACCGATTTTATGATCTTCAATCCTGCGAGCATTTACGTACCTCATGATAATATAATCTAAATGTACATGTTTGGCACATCAATCTATAGAAACCAGGCTTGCATTGATAACAATGTACCAGATCATCTATATATTTATTAATAAAACAATTACCGTCACAGGTAAAAGTTAAACTTGAATGAATACCATATCATATTGGTTAACTTGTAGTACAATGTGCAATGTTCACAATCCACAGAACACCATTTGACAAAAATAAGATGACCATAACTCAAACATGTCGAACATGTGATCATAATTGGCAGTCAATAGAATATTCGTAACACTGTAAAACCACAAACGCTAATTAAACGCTAATTAAAATACATTGAAGTGATATGTTTTGAAATATACTTTTATAGCTGTTTTAGCTGTTATTTTCTTAAAGTAAATGTATAAATACGACAAAAAGAAAAATTTGTGTGCAGTCGAAACTTAACATAACTTGATTTAATATAAAACATCTAATACAAAAGACTCGTCCAAAATTATCACTCAATTGCTACTTAAACTGATCATGGATTAATATGTAGAACCATAATGTGTGTATCGCTTACTATGATTAAGTATCAAATAAATATTTTCTAGTGAAATGACATTGCCCGTTTGATTATTGCTCTGATTTGACTATAATTTAGGATATTAACATATGTGTACAATATCTCGGACTTAGTATCTGTCTGAATAAAATGCCAAAATAGTAAGAATGTATATTTTATATTTGGAACAAGTAATGTAGTGGGATTTAATATAGATGGAACAATGTAACATTTTGCTGGTATTTATTACCTTAAACATACTACAGTAAATATTAAAATTCATTGTGTTGTAAACTAAACATATAATTAAGATTTATGACAAAATGGGTACGTTTGTTGGACATTTAATTTATGCCTTTTGCAAATGCATGACTGAAATATTCGGAAACAACGTATATTAAAGAAATATAAGGTAAATAATTTTGAAATACACATGAGACGTAGTTTCCATGCTACAATAATATATGCCTATACATATGTATTTACCAAAATGATATCTGTACTTACAACATCGCTAGAAGGAAGTAGAGAAGACTACCTAATTATGGTAAACAATCCGTTTTCAAAGTTATGTAAAGATTTGAATATATAATATGCATCAGTAACCCCGTGTGTAGCCCTATTTTAATGACATTTTCATGATATGAAAATAAAATTTGCAAATATTTCTATAAAGGTGTAAAAAACATTGCAGAAGCACGATGAAGCATTTAAAGCCGAACACGCAGGACATGCATGTATTTAAGTGTAGTCCGATAGTTTTTCGTATTAAAAGAAAAGTAACTAATCAATGTAACTTTAATTATTGAAAGTGCCATAACTAATAACCATGATGTTTTTCTTACAAATTAAAAAGACAGGAACTTAGTATTTGATACCTGGTCCAAAGAAAGTGTGTTATTTCTCTATTGAATATATACCTTATATTTTTTCTATAATCTCAATATCTGTTTATTCTATATGTTACTGCTTTTCGTTACAGAAAGAAAAACAATTTAAAATTGATTTTATTTTTTTTCTCATAAATTGAGAAATGCGTGTATCATTTTAGAAACTGAACTTTTTGTGTTTGAGTAAATCTCAAAGACGTTCGCATGCACTCCATGGAATAAAATGGCGATCAGAATATATTGCATACGAATGATTCAAGTCAAGGTTGTGTTTCATAGAAAGTCCTAAATGTATTTAAAGTCGACAGATGTAAGACGACTTTTACAATAGTAAACAAACGACAGCTTCAATACTTTCTTTTGGTCAGACACTTTAGACTTTGATTAAAATCGTCTTCCTAAGAAAAGTTCAGAAAAACCGATTGCGCATAATTCAATCCACAAAATGTTATTTTTCCATGTGCATTGCTATTCAGAAATTAAAGGGGTCATGACAAAAGAGTCATAATTAAGGACATTTCCTTTGAAATACAAATTTATATGAGCTTTGTTAGAAGACTGATTTCAGATTTCTGAATTGCTATGTAAAACCCTTCAGAACCATAGTTCAACATTCAAGGCAGAAGTCATATTTGAAAAAGCTGCTGCACTCTCACTGCGGTATACCGTACCCCGGACATTGCTCGATATTATGAGGACTTTCATCCCATTTCGCGACTTTGAACGGGGAACGAAGATAAGTTCAGCGACGATATTTTCCAAACCTATGATGGCTATTTGAGCCGTGACATGACATTTCCAACATAGTGGTCAAATTTGACATTTTCACTTTTTCAAATATTCTCAAAAAGCAATCTTTTCTGAATCATTTGAAACAAATTTTATTATTTTTGGACGATGAAAACTTGTTTTATAATACTTTTTTATCACACACCTGTTGTTGGTGACGGCGTTTAAGTTGACGTTAGTGACGACGTCGTTTAAAAGTACGACGTCGTTAAAAAGTACGTCAGTTTGACTAAACGGAAAATTATTTTGCTTAACATAATAATCCTGGAAAAATATTTTCAAATAAGTCAATGCATGCAAAATTGAATATTCAAATAATTAACAACGTCGTTCCCATATGTGTTTAATTACACAGTCTTTTTTCCACTATATATACTATATTATCAACTTTTAGATTTTCAGTACATAGATTAATTTTATTGTATTTCCAGCGAAGAGTTACTCTTCTCTTGTAGGTAACGGGCACGTTTCATCTTGCGAAACTTGTCGCACGTATGGACGTACAGATCTGTATAAGTACATCTGTCTTTCAAATGAGAGACCGCCTGGCTGTAGTACAGGTGGCATTTGTTCTGCAGTGAACGTAGTGTCCGAATATTGTAAGAGTTTGAACGATCTTTCGTCACCATCGGGAGTTTTCCTCACAGTTACCTCGCCAGGTCTATTGTGCTCAATTCTGGAACCATGGATTGAAAATATATATTGAAATACTAATTTATACTTCCACAAAACACTTATGTAAAAATATATATCTCATAAGAAAGTGGCTAGCCGTACGGACCCGAACTGCTAGCCAAAAGTTAAGCAGTCGCGCACGTCTAGCCTATACGCACTGAACTGGGCTGTATCATGAACAGAAATTTTCTATGTCCGCTAAAATTGATAAAGATAAAAATTTATTACAACTGTATTACGTCTAGAGACATGATTTAATAATGTTTCAGTTTATTTCCCCTGTACTTTCGCACGGACTTTATCAAAATCTGTGATTTTTAGAGAAAACTTCCGATCATCAAACGCCAAAAATAATATATTTACGTTAATTGTTAAAGTTTTCATGATACTCAAGGAAAGAAAGTTTGCATTTTTTCTCAAAATGCCGTACGGCTAGCCTCAACAGTGTGTATAGGCTAGTCGTACGTGACATAAGGTATGGCTAGAACTTTTGGCTAGCAATACGGCCCGTGCGGCTAGCCACTGCCATTTCATAAAGATAATTTCATAATGCAACGTAAATTTATTCGTAAAGAATGATAAAAAAATCTGTATAAAAAGTATATATTAACATTGACACCTAAAAAAAAGTTGATATGATGAAATTCCCGGTAGGGCTTTGTAGTACTGATTAAAGTATGTCTTCCAGTCAAAAACCATGTCCATTCTGGGTAGCTCACTGATTCGTTAACAGTTGAAGACTTGTTTACTTGATTTACAAGATGAAGCAAGGAATCTGCATCACATCGCCTACAAAGAGTAAAAGTTCTCGAATTTAAAGCTAGTAAAGGATTAATACCGACGTAACTATACAAGGTGTCGCTCGAAAATATATGGACAGTTCCATAAACAGTATGTAGCCATAGATATAGAAAACCGTATATATGATATATATAATAAACCCTGATGATAAAAAATATTATGAAAAAGATATGGATATTTTTAACGTTATTTTAAACAATCATAGTAATGAATTATATTGACCTTCTAATAAGCTATTAGAATTAGCAAAACACACCTGTATAATCTCTTAAAATTTGCAAATCCAGCGTCTACAAGACATCTACTGTGACCAGGAATCTGCATGTGTAGGTCAATTCTCTTGTGCAGTCCTGTCATTACACGCCATGAAAGATAGGCTAACACATATCTGTTTTTGTTTTGTCCTATAAAAGGAATGATTTACGGACATAATGTGTGAATTTTGGCAATAATTTTAATTAATTTATTCATTTATTTATGAACTTTACTTGTTTCATTCATTCATTCAATTATTCATTCATTCATTCATTCACATTTAATTTATACATTTACATAGGGACTCGGAACAGAGTCGGCGCGATCGTAAACCAACAAAACAAAAAAGAATCAATTCATAAATTGCAATTAAAACATATTTTCTATTTATCAATTAGCTTATTTAGTTTGTCTCGATTATTTATTTCAATAAAGAGTTCCTTTTAGAAAAAGGTTGAAAAAATTTCAAATACCAGCGCAGTTATCAGCATGTAATGAACAATAATCTTCCTGTTTACCAACGCGTTGGAAAGCATGGTGCATCATACTAATTACAGCATTTGGACCGTGTGACAGCTTTCCGTCTAAACCGATGCACTGGCTCTCATCAAAAAGATAGATTAATTGGCGTGGATCTCCATCGGTGCGGAAGCCAAATACTTGTACCTAAACAAATATTCATCTTCTAACTTTTAATTTTTTTTCTTACAAAGTTCTCAAATGAATTATGTATGTATAAAACAAGCATGTTAATTTCTTAAAACATACCGGGTATTTTTCCCGGTCATTAAAAACCCCATTATGCGTGTTTAGTTTTGATGAATAAATCTAAAATACTGGCACAAAATTTAAAATAACTTCATTATGGTATAAATTGCACATGAGTGCATTTTTTAGAATGTGTAGAACGTTTATTTTAATGAAGTCTTTGGACGAGAATCTACTTCCGTTACTTATTTTTATAAAGTGTTTTTTTTTTCAGTTGCAGTATGATAATGTTATTCAAATGTTTGGTAATTTCTCATTGGCCAGTCGGTGTCCGTAGATTTATTCATGCGTGTTTGAAATTCAACCATAAATTACTTAAAAAGGCGCGTTGAAAATTGGTAGATAATTGATTAGTTATACTGCATTCTAAATAACGCATTGTAAATACAAAATGAGATGGGAAACAAAGAAATGGTAGATAAATTGTAACCTTTTTCAATGACAAGAAGTAAAGAGGTCCCATCTGACGAGCATGATGCGGAAGCGTGACGTTCTGGGCGAAATCAAATGTATAATGCATTGTACTAGGTATATTGCCGAGCAACGCGGCTGTCTCTAAGGCTGTCTTACTTTGACGAATCAATGTCAGATAAAGATTTCTTTCTTCTTGTGCTAGCTGAATATGTGTTTGCACAGATGACGTCGCGGCCATCTTCTCAGATTCTGTCACAGCATCGACAATCTTCTTTCGATATTGTTCACATTTTGAACAAACATCGTGACGTGGGGAAGCAATTACAATATGCGGCACACAAGCTTTCCATATCTGACAAAATGTTGTTCTTTTTACACACTTTCCATTCTCAGATCGTAAACTCTCAACATAAATAGAATGAATGGCTTTCTTTGTCAATGATGAATGTAGATAGATGGGTGGGAGATCACCACGCCCTCTCGGAGCAGCTGGCTGTGGTAAGCCATTCTCGTCAGCATACGACCGTAAAAATGTCACTATTTTCATAACATCGTCAAAATGGAGAGCATGAATAGGCTTTCGTCCAGTATTGCCATGTTTACGTGGAGATACGCCATGACCATGTACGTGTTCGCATAAAGCTCTCAGAGAAAAGTCTGTAATGTCATATAATATCATGAAAGCCTGACGGCATATTTTCTTTCCTTCAAAACAATACAAGGAAGTGGGGCGCTTTCTCGAGCCTCTCCTGGTGTCAGCGTCTGATATTTTTACTGTGTTTAAAATAGTCATAATTAATTGTTCTTTTTCTTCCTTTAACATATCTCTAATAGATAAGATATGGTCATTAATATCTGAAGAACTAAATTTTTCTATGCATTTATTTTCGCAGTTACAATGTTTAAAAAGAACACAACTATCCCACTCAATAAATGGATTTTCATTTTCCTTATCGTTAGAACATTGGTCAAGGTATTGTGCGACCAGAATTTCATTTCCTATCGATGTGTCGCCGTCTTCGGACTCTGTTATACAAATATCATGGTCAGGTAATGGTGTCTCATTTGTATTTGATAAACCAAAATGATCATTGAACAAATTGTTGATCTCCTAAAACGAAAATAAAATAAAGAAAACCGTAAAATAATAATTCTAATTATTAAGTTGTACTTTTGATTTAAGACTATTACGGCCATAATGGAATTTAGGCGTTCACGTTGCTCTACTGTGAGTGATACAAGGGGGGCAATCCGTCTAGAGCTTATGTTTTATCTATCGGCTGCATTTTTATAGACATTGATTCTACCTAGCCGTGTTTACACTTGTTTATCCACTGAGTTAAACTTCTTATAAAGATTTTAATTTTAATGTAACTTTTATTAAACTGTAGACCAATTATCATAATAAATTTACAATTTCAAATTGCTGTTTAAATCATCGTACACAGTTTAAATCATCGTACACAGTCACAGAGTATGATGATAAGGGGACAGTAGCGGCTCTTTGATTAAAAATATTAGACAATGCATCTTCATAGCCATGCAGATATTTAATAATTGAAACATGTCATACGACATCTTTATACTTTAGAAAAGAAAATCGGCGAAAAGGTAATTTAAATATTTTACAATGCCCATTTGTTGTTTTTATAAACACGTCTGCCTACAGAACAGTACAGACCTCATTCCGAGATTAAAAATCTGATTGTTACACATTTGCTTTAATTGTTTTCATTCTTGAACTTACGTGTAGTTTCTTGCAAAACAAAGAACAAGTTATACCTGCAACTCTTCTCCGCCCTCTGCCATTATGTTTAATAATTATACGATTTAACGGACCCGCCCACTTCATACATTGTTTTTTGTTTACAACGCTCCATGGATACAACGGGTGCGCGCACTGTAAAAAACTGTACAGCGCTGATTGAAAACACGCGCGATATATTATTAAAAAAAAAAAACGTGGTAATTTTGGCGTCAACTTTGACGTCGTGTTTCTACGATTACGTCATTTGACCACTATGTTGGAAATGTCATGTCACGGCTCATTTCATTTATCTCAACGGGTTTTATATATCTAGAGGTATTTTTGTAGCTCTTAATGATATAAAAGTATTACAGATATTTGTAAAATTGATTAAACTACCCCTAAACGATCGACTGCTCACTAGAAAATACTGACCGCGATACTGTAGAATCGTTAGAAATTATTATATTACCTAGTATATAAAAAAATTGAATCGAGAATTTTTTTTTATTTTCGATCCAAGTATGATTTGTCTAAATTTCAGGCAAAAGGTGTGAAAGTACAGAAAGATACAGGCCAAAAAAGATACAAGAAAGTGTACCGACTATTGATTTTAAGTGTACAGAGTATTGCAAGATAGCCCAACTTTAGTGTACAGTGTATTGCAGAACAGAATGAGCACATATGTATGAAAAATCGATATTTTTGTCTAATTTTACGTCTGTTTATCGATTCCATTTTATTTTTCTGATAATGTACTGTTTATATGATATTTATTCAAATATTTCAGATTCAACAATGCATTTTCAGTGTAATTACTGTTCTTTTTCTACGGGCAAATACAGAGATGTATTATCCCATTTGATTGAAAATCACACTATGGATGAAATAAAGTTAAAGTGTGTGCAGGGTCGGGAGCAGGGTAGAACCATCAAAACTCTTTCCTCGTTCAAAGTCGCGAAAATGGATGAAAGCCCTCATAATATCGAGCAATATCCGGGGTACGGTATACCGCAGAGACTCAAAGCTTACACATATTTCTTATCCTTCACAGATTTCAACAACATTTACTGTATCATGATTAATCATAAAAAAGGGAATTCATGATATTTTATCGTTGCTGATTTTAATAGTACACAGACATTGACACTATCTCGACACAGTCTTTGAGGAATTCCGAAAAGTTAGCTTGAAGGAGTTTTCCCAACCCTTATATTTAAACAATATACGTCACTTAACACGAATGATAAAGCATTCCCGAAACATGAATAAGCTTAAATGGACATAAAAGGTTTTTAGTGTTCACGCACAAAGGGACAATACTGTTACCTCATTGTCGTAAGTACTTATTTGGGATAACAAATCTAAACTTTTATTGCCACCATACAATTTGTATCGAATAAGAGAAACAACAAATATAGGCTAACTCTTCATTTTGTTGTTTTCACTAGTAAATCAATATAACTGATTTCTCTTACATCTATGATAATGTTGTTCCTAGATCTGAAAATAAACAAGTAAATAATAAGTAAATAAATATATAATATAGACAATAATGAAATCAAGTACTTAAACTAAATTTAATCATAATCTTAGATTTATGAATTAGAAAACATAATAATTACCATTGTGTACATTATCCCTGATCGTGTTATTACTCAAACTCTCGTAATTATTAGTCACATCAGCCGACTCAGCATTTTCAGCGCCGAAATCAGTTCTAATGTTATAATATGTTGGATTATCAATGTTTGGTCTGTTGTGTTTGGGCGTTTTTCTTGCAATATACCTGTGTTAAAGTGTATAATTTATAATCGTTTTATACAAGTCATTTTTAGTAATAGGTAATTATTTGAAAGAACAAACATGTCAATTAGTTAATAAATAAAAGTTGACAAAAACACCAGGATTGATCGATTATTATCATCATTATTATCATTATTATTATGTATCTCATATGTAAAGATAATTTGTTTTACATTAAGAACAAACAACTTTTATAGTTAAATAGCGAAAACATTCACCTTCGTCTAATAAGGTAAAACAATACAGCAAATACTACTATTACAGCACAAGATCCGACTCCAGAGAAATAACCAATGGTAAAAATATTAGCTTTATCGTCACACCGTGCACATGTTTGTTGTTGTATTAATGGTTCGGCTGATGTTGTTGTTGTTGATGTTGTTGTTGTTGATGTTGTTGTTGTTATTGATGTTTCTGTAGATATAACATTAACTTGTAATAAATATTACCCTGACTATAGTCTAATGATTACTGGAACAATTTGTTCGCCATAAACTGCACAAACAGTCATCTATGTCAAGCCAGCGTGCACAGCTCAATCTGTTAGAGCGCAAACTTTGTAATCTCAACATTGAGGGTGCTATTCCCGGGCCGGCCAACTTAAATGGCTAAAACAGTCTTTCGGATCAATATATCTCAAATGCCACCGTAATATATTCTATGAATTTTATTCAGTGAGAATGAGTATTATTCGGCATTATATCTTCCTGATACATTACACGAGTTAAAACGTGAAAACTACTACGTGTGCACGTTAAAGTTACCAACGTTCAAAGTAATTCTAACATGTGTAAACAAGGCAAAAAAAAGTATTTCAATACCCCTTATTCTTCAACATATGACGAATAATTATGAATAATCGATATTTATGGTAATTATGAATTTGGTTTAAACTATAAGAGTTAGTTATGAATTAATTATTTTGAAATGAATTCCTGGCAGTATGCACATTGTTTACCGATTGTGGTAGTTTGAGTACATGTATCTCCGGTCAGTCCATCCTTACATCCATTTGTACATTCACCGTTATTTCTATCACATTTAAGATCTTTACATCCACTTGGACAAGAGTTATCGCATGTGTCCCCCCAATATGTTTAGTTACATCCGTTTAGACAATATCCGCCTGCATGTGTACAGGTATGTTTACCACTTATTACTTTACATGCCGGGTTGCAGGCTAAACTGCAATCGGTTGAGTAAAAATTTCCAACACACAGTAGACAAATATTTCCGTTATTTTTTTAGCACTTTCCACATTTGCTGTTACATTGCTCAGAACACTTTTCACCTGTACAGCCCTCCTTACATTCTCCTTGACATATTCCAGTACTATCACAATCCGTAGAACATTCTGTTGAGCACACAGATGTGTGTGATCCACATGTTTTACCATTGAATATTTGTCCTTCTAGACAGTCAGCACAGACTAACAAATCATTGTGTATTTGACACTGGTCACAACCTTGAATAACACAGTCTGGACATTGCGTTTCATGCAAACATGACACACAGTGAACATTGTCTTTAAAATTATAGAGGTGATAACCCTTATTGCAAATATAACATGTTTTGACATCCCTACAATGCTTACAATTTGACGGACATGTTAGACATATTGTTTCGATACCAGTATTATACTCATAATATCCATCTGTACAACCACTCAAGCATGTAAGTAAATCACAACGTTCATTGGCACAAAAACTACAGTTGTTAGTACATTGACGTCATACAAACCATGCATGCATTGCATACAAAATCCCGTATCATCTTGACAATCATTGTTTAGACAATTACCATCACATTTGAAAGCACAACTTGCATGTAAACCAAAATTGTTTGGCTTACATGAAGTACAGTCATCCCAGCTGTTACAACTTTCACAACTGTCGGGGCATGGCGAACATAAACCATTTGATAAATAGTAAGATGATTCACAACTTGTGCAAGTTGAAACAGAGCATGATTGGCAGCCAACTGAACATTCTGTAAATATCTATATATTTTGATATTTTGACTATTATCATATTCTTAGTTATATATATTATCATATATATGATATAATTAACGAATAATATCCTTACCCAGTTTAATAGACGTGACCATACAATGAACTTAAATTTAATCTTTATCTCCAACCGAATACGATCGATATTAGGCCAATGGATAAAAGTTTACAATATTTAATGATATATTAAGACAATAAAGAAAAAAGTATTCTTTAGTTAAAATTCAATGGAATAGAGGTACTTACCGGCAAATAACATATCAACACACAGTACTAGTGCTAATGCTGTAATTTCCTTAGAAAACATGTTCCGATTCCATGTATGCAATATAATCTAAAGAAATGAATTGTATATTATTAGTCTTAGAAGTTAAAATGTGCATTGCAATAAAACAGTTTTAGACAAAAGTACTGAGACATTTAAATTATAAATTTTTAAAATGATAGAGTCAAAATGGTCTTACAATACTCATATCCTATCCGTTTTTCCTATTTGATAAAGCGAAATATCTTCTGTTTTTATATCACTATACATTATTTAAACAACAATGGTGGTAAAGCATACCTATCTGTTTAATCATTGCAAAATGAAACTTGTTCAAAACTTCCTCTTTACATTATTGTGCATTTAATATAAAGTTTTGATTTGGATACCGTATGCATCAGTGGCTCTTTATATAGCGCTGCTATTTTAGACGAATTAATACGGTCGAATACATTTACAAGTTTGAGCTTTTTTTTTTAAAAAAATTTTTTTCAAGTAAATGAATAAAGAATTTTAACGTCATGAATTTATTATCTAAGTAGGATTTAGTTAATTCGTGCATTTGAAAAATCTACTCTACAAATTGAATTAAAGTATTCATGAAGCTAAATTTGTAAAAATGTTAAGATTGTGAAGTAATGAAGTTTAAGTCGCCAGTTTGTAAAATTGAGACGGTATTTTTTTCATACTAGTTTCTTTTAAGGAAACAATTACTACATTTCACAACAAAAAGATTTTCTTTTGTCATTGTATGGACATGAATTCATTTTGAAAAGTTATTTGAATAACTTTCTTTCATGTCTGAATTTAATATTTTATTTGCAAGATTTCGAGTTGCGCATTTATATTGAAACGGATTGTTTTATTATGAATACGTTTAGAAAAACTTAAACATGCCAACGCTTAATGACACCGTTTACACTGTAAACTGTATACACCAAGAAAGAATCATGATTAAGTGCATAAGTTTTAACTACCTCTATGAGCAATTTCAATTGAAAGAAATGCTGGTATTCTAATTACGTTGAAGCAACTTGAATGTATGACAGTTTTTGTAAATATATATATACAATTCCTATGTACACAATATGAATTTGTGTACGAAAATGTAAACAAATTACAACTGTATGTTGGCGTTTAAATATTT